GCAAAGCAAATACACGTGAAATAAACTCAGTATTTTAATAAAGTAAAAAAGAAAGTGTCTTTCTCAATAATTTTTCATCATAAGCTTCATATAAAAACAGTGTTCTTTTCTGTCTAATTGGATGATCTTTACATTTAATTTTTATTTCTGGGTATTTGCTTTGCAATGTTGCAACCATTTTCAAAACTGGAGATTCTAACTCTAAAGAATTCTAGTAATTGCTCAATATGCATTATTCATGTGTACACTTTTATTTTGTAATAATTTACTAACAATGGGACCAGCAGATGTCATAATTGTTACTTCACTGGTCTTTCCACATAGTCAACCGCAGTTCAAGTCCCAGACTTGGTGGCTTAGAACTCACATTAGGCTCATGTGCATGCATGCCCAAAATCCCAAGAGGAGAAGAGAAGAGAAGGGATTGCAGTGTGGCCATCCCCCCGGGGGTGGGGGGAGTGAGTTCTAGCTTTCTGTCTCTCTGTCTCTCCAGCAAGCACAAGTGCTCTATAGCAAAAATCTCTCTTAAAAAATTACTAACAAAGTTTAATGTTTGCATGCAGTCAATTCTTGCTCCAGCCCTCAGGTTAGAAAGTTAATATCTGTGTAGATTCCATAGGGTCAGACTCAAGGGTCAAATTGTCATACCTATCTGCTGTCAAGAGTCTTGATGCTTCCCCAACGTGGAGTTCCTGTTCTTTCCTGCAGCTACCAAGGCTTCTGGGACTGCTGCTGCTACCACCACCATGGAAAGCACCAACATGGGTGTAGGTCCCAGCCTGGCCACCTTGGGGCCCCATGTAGCCCAGACAGCTTGGTGTGTGTCCTCTAGACCAGTAAACCAATTGCTCATGCCACCATTATCTTTTACATCCATGCATATGAGTCCATGAGTGCACATCTCCACCATTCACATACATGCTTCATCATCTCATCAGACTTTACTTACAGAATGCAAAATCAAAGATAAAATTATCATGAATTTCAGCATAACAACAGCACAACATTAGCCAAGTATGGGGCCCTTACATTGGAGGCACTGTGCAACTGCACAGGCCACACACTCCTGAAGATAGCCCTGGTGCCAGTTAGGCTTATTGGTATCAAGCCAATCACCAAACATGTATCAAGTATTCACCATAGACCAGGTGCTCACGTCTGGTATCTTTTTGCATCTTTTCCTAAATGTGCCCTACACTAGGAGGGGCTTGGAGGAAAAGTAAGTGACCATTTACACTGCTGAAACAATCGTTCAGATCACTGACCGTTTTAGTATATTCATATCCATTATCTCACTAGAGGGCCACAACCCCCTGAGGTAGTGAGAGAAAGGATTATTGGCTCTAATTAATTGATTTGCACAACAATCCACAGTGGTCTAGAAGTATTTTTAATGCCCTCTGACAGATGAAGTCACAGAGGTTAAGTGACCTCTCTCTACCTCACGAGGCTGTTGGGAAGATTGAAGTAAATGGGGGCTGTGGAAAGGGTTTTGTCAAAACTGAGGTAACGAGTACATAGAGGGGTTACTATTAGTCTTCTTGAGGACATCACATGGTGAAAACACAGGAATTCAATCCAGGTTTACATCTAATCAAAATTTCACCTTTTAAGAGAGAAATCTTGGGACCAGCAGTTAGCGTAATGGCTAGGTTGCTGGACTCCCACATAGTCGACCGCAGTTCGCGTCCCGGACCCGGTGGCTTAAAACTCACGCTGGGCGCGTGTGCGTGCGTGCCCAAGATCCCGAGAGGAGAATGGAGGAGAAGGGATTGCGGCGTGACCATCCCCCCTGGGG